TCTCTCTCCAAAAGGGACTTCTAAAAGTCAGCAATGCAGATCAACACTCTGGCACAATTTTAGAAGGGGACACATACTTTCTCCAGCATTTTCAGCTCTACAGCACTAGAACCTAAACACTACATGGATAAAGAGTGCAGAGATGGAGCTTGGCATGAGGCTGCTGTGAGCCTGCCATGGCATGAAGTAGATTTGCTGCAGGGCTGCACATGAAACTGCTGAAGAGGGCAGTAAACCATTTTGGTGGAGACCAACTCCCCCAGGAAGCTCATCACTCCTGCTGGAGCTGCCACTGACCGGCTGTTTGGAGACGGCTGCACTACTTCACTTTCCAAATTCAGCTGGGCCACCTGTTTTTAGAGTCTGACACCTTTTTGTCAGAAAATGCAACATTTTACAAGTTGTTTTATAAGACTTCTATTTTGAATTGAGCTTTTTCCTAGGTGGTCACCATTTCCTCAAAACATAGACCAATTTTCTTAGTGCTTTGACTGTCATTTTTCCTTTTACCCACCTTGCTCCAGTGTTCTGGGGACAGAGCTGCTTCTTACTTCATTAGATGGCTGCAGCATGCACAGCAGAGCCCTGATGCCCTGGAGCAGATCTGGATGCTATTGTAGACAAACAGCAGCAATAACTCTCATAGAAAGCAATACTCTGTTTATGCAAACTGTCTTGATGTTTATACAGTCCATCCCACTGAGATGCTCTTTTGCTCCAGACCAGCTTGTCATTTTGGAGGAATGTATCAACATTCTCTCTGACACAGCTCTCCCTTGTCAGAGGAGTAAACAGCAGATATCTCTCATTCCTTTCTAAGGTGAGGGGCTATGGAGCGGCAGAATCTCTGCATCCTACTCTCATCACTCCTAGGAGGACGGTCAGTTTAAAGATCTTGGAGAGAAGTAACTCTCACTCTATAGTAAGTGAAGCGTTTTAGAAAAAAGCCATGTACCATCTTGTGCCAGAATAGATTTCACTTTCAATCAAGTAAAACTTAGTTGTAGACTTTGCCTTTTCCTTTATTTTGATTTTGTGTTGCTATGTGTAGACATATTTTTTGGTGGTTAAAAGGGATTTGCAATCATTATGTAGAACACCTAAGGCAGAACCATGGATCACTATTGATCTACTGACTACTAGAAAAGAAATGTGGCTTGAAAACCTTCTGCCAGCATCAATCAGTTAATGCAATGGGGAAGACCCAGTCTTTCCGTTCCCTGAAGTCAGCATTGTTGAGGCTTCTAGCATAATAAGGACATGAAAGAGTATTGGTTATGAACTCAGCTTCAGAAATAAGAATACTTCACTGAAGTGGAAACCACAGTTGTTTTAGACTATAAGTTTCCTACACACCAAAGAGAGGCAGTGTATCTGGATAGGTCACTGTACTACACTTAAGTATTTCATCTGTGGCACTGTTTTCCAGGACAAGATGTTGTGTTTATCTCTGCCTCAGCTTCCATGCTCGTGAAATAATGTAGTCTGAAGCATACTGAAGAAAAGTGTTTTGAAAGAGCTGAATATATTATTAACAGTAACAAAACAACCACTGCTAGTTTTAATGTGAGTATTGCTTTCTCAGACAGCCTTTTCTTTACACTTGCATACTGGAAATTTCCAGTAAAGAAATATAGAAAGCTCAGACATTTATATGGTACGGGGAAGAAAAAAAAAAAAGGAGGGCCTTGAAAACAACCAATAATTTTGGGAATCAGAGCAATCCAGCAAGACATCAACCAAGTCCTTCCAATGGTGGCTGGGTCTGTATGGAGGCTCTCAGATTTTTCATGTATTTATCAAAGAGACATAAAAAGACTAAGTCCTAGTAAACAAGGCAGGCTAGCTTGCTCATATGGTTGGTTTGATAATTAAGTCTTGCAGAGAGTGTACATCCATGCTAAAATAATGCCTAAAAGGAGGCAGCCAAAACACAGCCTGCCTCTGGAAGGGTTTGACTCACATGCTGCTGAGTTATTCATGGCATGTGAGCTGTGTGGAGGAGATCTTTTTAATTTGTTTTGTTTTAATGTTGATGGGAGAATCTTTTCTTTTGAAAACAGCCTCCTAATACATCAGGACAGCTGCCTGGGTTACACCTCATTTAGCGGCAATTGTCTCTGTAATGTTTATAACCCTCCCACTGCCATCCAATATACAGTCATCATTTATCCTCTCATTTGACTAAAACAGTGTTAAAATGCCCTTCTAGTGCTTTGTTTTGCTTACTTTTCCATTCCCTTGCTGTCCTCATGTCAGAGATGTTAAAGCCTCTTTTGAACAACTGGCATCTCTGTGTCAAGGATTTGTGACTGAATGATGCTTTCTCCACTCTCTACCCTGCAGCCTCTCCCTCCTGTTTAATTACAAGTTTGGGAGTGTGAGACATCATCTATCATTCCTCGTTCATTATATTTAATAGATGCACATTTTGGGCTCTTTAACAAACTGACCAGACATATGGAGCATGTTAATCTGCTTGTGAAATCTTCCCCTTTAAAATCAACAATGCTATTGTCTCCTCCGATGAAATCTCAGGAAATGAGAGGGGGAAAAAAAAGATAAAAAAACCCCAGAAAACCCAAACTACAAATCTCCTAGTATCATTCCTAAGCCTTACCTGTGCAGTAGATTGTCACAGTCCAGATGTGACTACTCTGCTGTAAAAGCCTTTGCATATACATGACACAAACTTACATCTTTGCCAGTGGTCAGTTGTTCTGCAATTTTTGTTCCTAGTAGGAGACAAAGCAACTTCACATATGAGTGAGTTCACACATAATCATAAAATAGTTGGGGCTGGATTTCTACACTGATTGTTTTGTCTCTTCACACTGTCTCACATCCTGCCCTCATCATCTACACCATTTATTGCAGTGGCCTACTTAAGGATCAAGTGTTACCACCTCTTTTTGATGATAGTACTCAGATCAGTTAGGTCTTACTTGAGAAGCCATTGGATCTGTCTACACATTCCATGCATCTTTCTAGTTTGATTTGCGTAGTGCTCATCACAGTGATTCCAACTGAACCCCATATTAGAGTCATAGGACTCTGCCTCATCTTGAAAAGAAAATACAGGCAATTCTGATTATCAGATATACAAACAATGGCATGTTTGAGACTGCCTGTGTGATGACAGATGGTTGGAGACATAGTCAGAAATTCATGCAATGGTACATAAAACCTGAAGCCTCGGAGAGCTAATTCAAGCTTTCCAGAAAACTTTCCATAAGTTGATGATCTTGAAACAGAATATGAGCACAAGGCTGCTTTTTTTTGTAGCCACAACTGACACATGTGGCATTGATGCCTGGCACACAGATGAGATTGAAGGCAACAACTTTTTCCTTTGTGTAAGTGGTTTGAGAATGCCAATAAAAACCTGTCTGAACGAACATGCTCTTACCATGTTTGGCCTGATAGGAAGGAGGTGTGTTACATTAATGCTTCTTCTGAATCTCATATCCACAGTGCATCATAGACAGTACAGATAATCCCAGCCATTAAGGAGAATACAATTTTTCTAGGTGGTGTCATGGTGACACTGCTGAAGTTCAGTAAATACAGGTCAGGCTGAAGGATCCAGAACAAAATGCTTAGTTTCCTTTTTTCCTGTTCCTTAACTTTCTCTGGAATAAAACAGATGCACAGTCAGCTCAGTGATTTTGAGTAGTTCCTTGAGATTTAGAGTTTACTTGAGCAATAACATTACTCTGGGGCATTAAGAGCACACAAGATTGAAGATGAGAAATTTGTAGAGCTCATGGCAAGCATGAACACTGGAATAAGAACTATGCTGGAGTTGGATTTATACTGTTTACCTCTCACTAATCATAGAGGTAGCTATGACTCTTTTGGTATTGTTTCCAGTGTGCCAGGCAAGCGTGCCTGGCAATTGCCAGCTTCACTGAATTGCCAGCCAATTGAAAGCTTCACCTGTAAGTACACTGCTGATATTCAGAGCAGGTCCATGAAAAACATGTGGCAGTGCTGAAATCTGTGTACATGAAGGTTTGGTCTTAGGGAGACAACCTGGGGGAAGGGAGGAGAGTTCTCTTGAAAATGTCTTAAAGAGCTTTGATAAGAAAAGTGATCCTCCAAGAAAGCAACACAAGGACTGAAAATGGAAAATTCAAGGTGATACAGCCAAGTATTCCTACCTGACAGAGCCCAGGTTTACAAGGCACTTAAAAGGGGTCCTTTACAATGTGTAGTAATACAAATCCATCTATTTCAAGGGTGTTCCTGCCTACACTGAAAAAAATCCCAAAATCAAAGACTTGAGATGCTTTGTTACAGCTGCATGTGGTTGCTAATTACTCTGGTATCAGCTGCTGCTGAGTAAACCTTTATCTTCTGTGCTGAGTAACATTCATTCTTTGGTTGAAAGCAAGACTAGTGGAGGGCTTCAGCTGTAGTGTTTGTATCACTGTTCTGCTTAGTTTGTGAGGTGTAAACCAATGCTTTCTCCTATTTTCTTTCAACCAGTTTGACACTGTGTTTTGGCTGTTAGCCGTGCATTAATAGTAGATAAGAACAGCTGTGGTGATTCAGATCAAAGAGCCACCTGACCCAGGGACTGCAGAGTAACTGAGACAGTAAGAACTAGAGAAACAAACACAGTGTTCCCTTGATATAACCACCCTGCAGTCTAGGGACCTCCTGAATCAGAGACTGTATCCACATCTCTGTGCTGAATAGCCCTCAAGAGACCCATCATCCTCTCCAAATGCATCTAATTGCTTTTTGAATCCAGTTATATTTTGCTCCTTGGCATGTTCAAAGCTTCATTTGTTAGAGGATAATGAGCTTAATAAGCTGAAGCTGTGTTTTTATTGGAAGGTTAATGATTGCACACATTTAAATAGTTAAATCAACTCTTTAGCTGCGTGTAGAGTTGCAGAGGAAGGGAACAAACTATCCCCACTCTTTGGGGAAAACTGCTGAGGAATTTTTGAGGTCATTTGGATTTTGTATCCTTTGGGTTGCTGGGGCTTAACTTACCACTGTGATGTTCCAGCTCATACCATTTCTACTTCTGTTGTGTTGGTTTTAGGTTACGTTAAATCCTAAAGTGAGCCAGTCTTTTTCCCACAAGTTGGTTTTGTCTCAAGCTACTTGTGTCTTGAGTCAGTTTTGCAGTTCTTTAACATCTGCTGCTTCTCATTATGTGACTAACTTGTCTGTATGAACCATTGTTTCAGTTTCTACTGTCTGTAATGTAGGTCAGTCAATCCATTGACAACTTAAAAGCTTTGTTTACTTCTAAGAGTGTATTGTTTTGACCACCTCTTACGGTGTAGTGGTTTTATCACTATGAGTCAGATGATTGCTTTGTAATTGTAATATAAAGCTTTGCATAGTGAGACTTGAGAAAAACTGTAAAAAGCTAGAATGAGGGACCCCTTATGTATTAGATACATAATGTCATCTTTGGAGAATTAGAGGGCTTTCCTCTTTAAGGTGATCAGAAATAAAAGTGGGGGGGAGAGAAGATAAAAAGAGTATTTTATGTGTTTTTCTTCCCAGGAATGTTGGGTTTGTGCAGTGCCCAAGTAAGCAGAGAAGTGAAATGAAGACAAATGGCAGTTAAATAACTCTGGAGGTAACGTCACCATAATGCCTTCATAGTGCAGTTCCACTGCACTTGCTTTTTAGCTTAGTGCCTTTCCTTTTTGGCTGTGAGATCCCCCTTGTTATTGAAATGTTGGATATTCTGCCTCCGTGTCTTTCCTTCCTGAACTGGCCAACAAAAGCAGGTAAATAAAAGATTCTTCAGGTTGTAAGTTGCAGTATAATTTTGTTAGGCACACTGTTTTATAAGCATAGACCTCTTATATCCAGCTGACTACAGGGATAGTCCATAAAAGCCCGCTTGGAAAGCATACTGAACTCAACAGAGGCTCCTGTTGACTTAAATGGGCCCTAGACCAGGCCTGAAATGAAATCTGTCTCAAATTGCCAATTGACAAAGATCCAGGATGGTGGTTTTATTTGGAAGAAGCTGTGAAATAGAGAAGTAAAATGGGCAGGAGCAAAGCAGTGGCAAAATAAAGATAATAATTTAGGCTGGTAAATGGGAGAAAACTGCTAACCAGCAAAAAAGAGCTCTGGAAAAGCATCTCAGAAGGACAAGCAAAAAGAAAATCCTAACTGGTTTCAGGATCAGTATTTATAACATCATGAGACAGTTTCCACAGTTCTCCCACTTGCAACAGCAGGGACCAGGCTTCAGAAAGTCTTTTCTATGGTCTTGCAACAATTCATTTGCTTTAATCTTTTTCTGTGTAGTTTCAAAGATCTGGGCTTCTTCCTCATGTAAACTAGCCTAGAGGGAAAGGAAGGACAGTTTGCTCTAAAAAATCTGTCTTTTGCTTAATCGTCTGAACACTGGAAGGGGATTGGTATTGGAATCTTTTCATTGGTTTCTCTTATGTTCACTGCTTGTCTCTGCTAATATCACTTTCCAGTCAAATTTTGTTGGTTTAAAGATGTGGAGGGAAAAAAGGACACTAGATATCAGATGACAGGAATGTGTGTTAAGCAGTTCTTGGCTCTACTCCAGTTTTTTGGTCTCTTTCACTGTGACTCAACAAGTCAGAGAAATCTTGTCATATCTCAGCAGCTACTCTAAGAAAAAATAGTAGATATGTTCACCTCCCCAAGAAGGGGCTGTGGCCAGCTTCAGGGACACTCTAAGTGTCTATAATCTATATAACTATAAATTACTTGAATGGGAGGCAGCTGCACCGTCATGATTTGTGTTTGAGAAAATAGAAATATGGCTTCTATAACCATGGTTTGCTTATGACGAAATGCTTCACCCCTGACCTCTGGTGCATCTTTCATGGCTAACTGGACTGCAAGGCTGAAAGGTGTACAGCACACTTCATTTGTCTAAACAGAAGCTGTAGAATCCAATAAAGAAGCACTATGTGGAAGGGGAACCATTTTCTTGGGATACCTGCAGAGTATTTTGGCAAGGGAGAGGAGCTGGCCACTAAAACCCAAGTTTTTTCACATAAATCAGAAGGGTGGGTAGTACACCAAAGCAGAAACACTATTTTAAAATCTAGATGAGTGATGTTAAAATCTTCATATTCTGAAAAGAGAGCACTGAAAGTATTTCACTGAAGGCCACTGTAAATGGGAGGAAGAAAATGGAGAAACAAGGGGATATTAGTCCTTAAAAGGATGGAAAGGCTAAAAGGTTAGCTTTTTTCTTCTAGCTAAGGAATAAAGAGGAGGTTGTCTAATCTGGCAAAGAAGAAAAGCCTGAAATATCCTTAGAGGCAATGCTGCCTTTTTAAAGTACACAGCTAGCTGATAGCCAAAGGCAACAGAAGAAACAGTGAAAAGGAATAGCAGAAACCTGAGACTCAGTGTGAACAGATACCTAAAAGTTAGGGAGCCTGAGGGTATGTAGTTTAACCAGAGCACTGAGGATTTTTCCACGGTAGAGGCTCAGATGCCATATTAAATCAGCACATATAACATCAAGCTGTGGCCATTGTCTTTAGGCATTTATTTTATCCACTGCACATGCAAATTAAGATGACTGGTCTTAACCCTTTTCTGCTACTGGTTAAGCTATATTAAAATGCAAATTCCTTTGCAATTTCTGCAGACACACTGCTACCCATCACTGGAGCATGCCAGTGTGAGCCACGAATCTCAGACATGTGATGGAGCCATCAGTCACAGAATCCCGTAATCACTTTTTTACATTCCCTAGCTCTGGAGAAGTGCCTGGTACCACATGAGGCTTTGCACGCTTGGAAGAGACTCATTTTACTGCAGGTCTAATTGGCTGTGCCCAACAGCAGAAAAACAACACAGGGTTTCTCCAGGTTTTTCTGTTCATGAAACTCAGCCCTTAATGGAACAGTCCCCAGTATTACTGGGAGCAGCAAATTTGACATATATGTGGTTTGGCAAGTTTTCATCTGGAATAAATGAGCGTGGGATTTGCTTTAGCACCTGCTGCTCTTTTTACGGTGCCAATTTACACCTCAGTAGGAATGTTTCCATTATAATGCAGTTGTTTAAGGAAGTATTCCAATTTTGTAGTGATTATCTATCTACTATTCAAGTCGTGTAAATGTTGTGGATGTTGGTCTACTCAAATCTATACCATTCATTATTCTGATACACAAGCATTTCCTAGCCTCAGTTTTGTTTCTTTTACTAACACCTCTAGCCACAGCATTATCTGAAGGCTTAAAATCAAAGCAAACCATACAAAATTCCATCAAATATTTTTTTACTACTTCCATATATACCCCTGAGAGCTCATTTAGCTGGGATTATTTTAAAGACTATTTAAAGACATATTCTGCCTGAAAAAGTCTAACATAATTAAAAAGTAATTGTGTAAATGCAGGTGTTGAGCTTCCTGCTAACCCTATGTTATAGTCTGTAAACTGTCTGAAAGCATCAACCTGAGTACTTAGAACTGGAAAGTCTTGACTTGAGCCAAGTTTGTTTAATGGAGATCACGTACGAAATTATGTTTCCACTGCTTGGAATTTAAAAGCGAATCCAACACTCTTGAGAAATTGGATTCCTGTATATGTTGGAGACAGACAAAGTTGCTGAACCCAGCAGGAACTGATTTGATGGTTATGCATAGAGAAGACATGGAAATGGAAACAACCTATTGCTTCTTTTTCTGGTTGCTGGGATTTAGTATGTAATATCTTAGGGATCCATCCACTGTATGCCTGTTTGTATTTTATCCCTAGGATGTATTTCCTGGGTTTTGATGAAATCTTATCCGTATTCAAAGAGCTACAGACTTGGACACGTAGTTTTGTCTGGGACTAACCGTTGTACATGGGACTTGTTTCTCATTCAGTTTTCCAGCATGAGTTACTGCTGGATGTCTATTAGTTTTTCTTAATTTTTCCTCACAGTTGGAAATGTGCTGTGTTCCCACAAACACTTTGTATTGACCTTCAGCACAAACCAGGAGCTGGATTTCAACGGCAGCCCTGAGACGTGGCTCATGGTGTAGTGGAGTGGGAGACAAAGACCTACATCTGTCCTGTGTCTTTTCAGTGTCTGACTCAGGTGTTTCATTTCTTCTAGTGTCAGGAGGCGCTCCAAAGGATTGTGAGAGTTTGGCCAAGCCTTGCAAGATCTAGAAGTGCCTCTCTTTCTCTCATACTTGAGAGAAAAGGGACTTGGGATGTTACTGGTTTCCAGTGCGGGAGATAAAGTATCTAAAGTCTTGTGAAAGTATCTGGAGCCATATGGAATGAACCTGGGCTTCAGTCAGCAGCTGGGGTGCTTTGGAATCTTGACCTTCTGAGACTGTGTGCTGGGCAATGTGAGAGAAGAGCTGAACGCTCATGTCAGGCAAGATCCTAGAACAGGTTATCACAGTTGTAACTGATACAAGACCAGGCCCAAAACACAATACTGCACCTCTAATAATCCTATTTTTAGGGGCTTACCATGACTGAAGATGAAGAACTCCTTCTGCTATAAGAGTTTTTTTGATGAAGGGCTATTTGCAGTCTTTGCCAGGTTCCTGCAGATAATACTCAGAGTAATAAGACTTACAGTGAAAGGACTAAATAAATATGGGTGAAGAATCATAGTAAATCGGGCATTCTTTTCAGTCAGCGTCACCAGGACAAGTTAGTCTTAATTTGCTTAAAGTAGATATCTTATCAGTCACTCTTAGTTTCATCCTTGTCAAGTCATCACCAAATAAACCTTTAAAACTGCAGGAAAAGTAGGTCAGAATGAAAATATAATTTAAAGCACTTCCAGGAATATTGCCCTTCTCTTTATTCCCTGAAGTGACAGACCCCTTATCTGTGTAGACATTCAAGGTCTTTTTCCATCTATCTGTCAGATCTACCAAGGAATTAACATCGCCTGATCATCTTTTTTACTGTAACTGCTTGAGACACAGGCCATATAGCACTTCTCTGGTGAAATGCATTACATGCAAAAACTTTCTGAAATCAAAGAGACAGGAGTAAAATAAAAGCAACT